AAGTATATTACCATAACCACAGTTCAATGAGCCAGATGTAAAGACTTTTCTATCATTCATTATATAATAAGATTGTAAAACTATATCGATACGTATGAACTTTAGATATATCTGTTCTTTGATTATATCTGTATCAGACAGATTATATATAGATAAAACCGTTTTCCTTTTTTCCTTAATGCGCCTTTGTTCCCCGCGAATGTATGGTTCTTTATATGCATATGCATAATTTTAATGCTAAAAAGAATACGTACAATATAGAAGCGTTACAAGGGGGAATTCGAAAAGCACGTTTTTCTAGAATTTACTTATCTGGCGACAATAAAGTTAGCACCTCATAACATATAAGGTAGTATAATATTTCGTTTATAAATATATATGCTTATTACATAAAATTACGTATTTTAGATTTCTTAGGCTATAAATTTAGTTGGCCTAATTTTCCTTACAAGCCAAAGTTGGAAGGTACGTACAAATATGTACATATGCACACATCGCCTTATCCCGATGATAAACACAATACTCACAAAAATTGTATATCCCAATAAGTTTCATGTATTTTATGGTACATATGGATATTATATAGACAATATATATATCGAATTATATTTAATTATATTATCGTCCTTTTTCTTCGAGAAATAATATACGGCTATTCTTCTTTTGGTAATATAATCTGATGTGGTTTGAGAAAAATTTAGATTTTGAATTATTTTATTTATTTATTTATTTATTTATTTTATTTATTTTCTGTGTGCGTGTAATAAACGATTCATTTTTCTGAGCCATGCATAAAGGCCGCATATATATACCAGTTCATCGGAATATTTTTAATTTATTACCGATTCTTTTTGTATATATATATTCCCTTGGCATATTGATATATATATATATACGTATATTGAGGTGATTTAACATTTTCTAAATAATATCGTAGATCGATTTTATTTGAAAATTTTCTTTAGAAACCAGTTACAATAATTAAAATAACTTTATTTTAACACCGTTCATTATCTTGCATTGCGACAGCAAAAAGATGGCAAAAGTTTGTATAAATTTTAATAATATCATACTAGTAGCTTTGATCCTGGCGATTTTAGTGATATGTACTAGTAGTGGTTTGTTAAATCATGACAAAAAAAACTATTTAATGAAGCGACAAAATACTGCAAAATCACCTAATACACCCAAAAACGCACCCGTTCAAAATTCTCCCAAAAACACACCAGTTCAAAATTCTCCCAAAAACACGCCAGTTCAAAATTCTCCCAAAAACACACCAGTTCAAAATTCTCCCAAAAACACACCAGTCCAAAATTCTCCCAAAAACACGCCAGTTCAAAATTCTCCCAAAAACACGCCAGTTCAAAATTCTCCCAAAAACACGCCAGTTCAAAATTCTCCCAAAAACACGCCAGCTCAAAATTCTCCCAAAAACACGCCAGTTCAAAATTCTCCCAAAAACACACCGGTTCAAAATACACAAAATTCTCCCAAGAACAATCCAGTTCAAAATACACAGAATTCTCCCACAAATGCTCCAGCCCAAAACACGCCCGTACAAAATACACCCGTACAAAATACACCTAAGCAAAATGCACCAGCACAAAATACACCCAAGCAAAATGCACCAGCCCAAAATACACCCGTACAAAATACACCCAAGCAAAATGCACCAGCACAAAATACACC